CTTAAACCCGCTGTGGATCCACAGCGACTTTCCCTGATAAAAGACACAAAATAACGTCAATTACATCATCCCAAACCAGTTCATTCTATGGCAGGAAATAAAAATCTGAATAAGAGGCATTTTGTGGTATGGGAGACTCCTTCAAGCTTTTGTCTGGCAGGGAACAAGGTTTGATGAAGCAGGGAAAAGGAGATCTGGCCTCCCAATTCCTCTTTGGACTTTCAACCCCTCCGTCCCACGCTTCTTCCATTCTTAATTACCACGTTTGGTTCAGTCCATTTTAATTTCTATCTCTTGGTTATACCCTAGCTCCCAACATTTTGTACATTTTTGTTTACCAAAGCTGTGAACTGAACTATATCAGATTATTTACTACAGGATTGATTGTGTGGGCAGGGAAGAAAGACAGTTTAAACTGGAATCAAGAATGTGCAGTCACAAGAAAAATGTATCAGGGGAGCAAGAGACACTGAAAAATACGGAATCATTTCACCGAGAGTTCAATCCTATTAGGGTTTTCCTCCCTGGTGACTATTAGGACAGGCAAAGAGATCTTAACAGACCCAAGTTCACATTCCAATAGGCAGCTTTAGGCTTTTTAAATTATTAATTTGGTAAACTGCTAAGTAGGTAGCAAAAAAAGAAGTGGATAGAAGATTAAAAAGGGTGATCAAATTTTTCTTCTTTTTTCCCCTCTATGCACTGGCATCAGAACAGCTCTGTGGAGAGTCATTTACTGTGACTAATGGAAACACTGTACTTCATTTCATAATACTGATCTCTTGGACAATTTGAGAAAAACTCCTAACTGGATGGCTATACACACTATCTAAAAATACCACTGCAGCGAGCTCTCCAGCAGATATCCTTCTGAAAGAAATGTCTTTGAAGAGACTTTCTAGAGAAGTCTCTAGAACACTGAGAAAAAAGCCCGCCCTTTCTCCTCCTCTGTTTGGGTAACCACTCAATCCTCTCATATGTTTTCCCCATGTACAGTTTAAGATGGTATTTAAAACTTCCAAAACTCCTTCTACAAGTGTATTCCTGTTTCCCTTAAAAAATGGGTTCAAACTGATGTTAGAAACTAGCACAGATGTTAGCAATTCAAAAAAAGACCAAATATGACTGTGAGGTAATGTCCCTTTTTAGCAAATTCTTCTTTTCTTCTGATTCTGGATATAAATGTCCAAAGTCAGTGGACCTCACCTAGAACCTGCCTGCATATCGCTCCTAACAGTGACCTGGAGGTGCCTGCAAATGCAGAAAGTCTGGAAGATTATCTGCAATCAGATAATTCCATTCTGAACCAGGGGACTATTTAGCTCTACAGAGAGCCGGCAGGCTGATGCTATGCAGAAGACAAGAAACTAGAAGTCGAAGCTGGGTTTATGTCTTCATAAACCAAAGTTTACACGCTGGTGACACTAGCTATAAAATGCTAAGCCAAAACGGTTTCTATTTTTGTAATTTTTTAATTTGTTTATAAAAATGATCTGGAAAAGATAAATCATCTATACTCAAATTAAATATGCAGCCGATGTCATGCATTCATCAGGAACATCTTGTTGCAAATCAAATAACTCAGGAGAATTATCTATGTGATTTGCTTCATAAAAGATGTATATGTTCGTTTCGTTAATTTTCACTGTATGATTAGCGGTATAGTTTGAATATCAACATTTCACACAGAATTGAGCGGCTTCATTTCATTCTGACAAGAATTTTAGAACTTGCAATCTAAAAATTTAAATGTCTGGTGTTCATCAAAGTTAATACATAACTTCTTATAAAGCAAGGGTTATGTTTGATTTTAAAGCACACAATAGAAACATATTTTTTGGAAAATAGCATGAATATTTGAGGAGATAAAGCCTTATAAAAACATTCATCAACAAACACCAATATTTTCTTTCTTCTGCTAGCCTGGAAAATATATACATACCTTTTTTTAAATCCTCAAATTACTGATTTCTTAAACTCATCCCAAATCTTCTCTTAAAATGTTGCTTATATTTCTTGTTGCCCAAACAACTTTAAAAAAATGTTTTATATTATTCAGTAATAGTTCCACATTGACCAACTAACAGAAGGCAAACTGAAAACAAAAATCTTATAAGGTATTAGTCATATGACTATAATCTGACAGTCTTTACAGAAAAATTGTATTTTATTTAAAGTTGATTTCTATGGAGTGTTTTTGTTCTACTCGGGTATATTTAGTTTTCTTATCATTTCGCTTTTAAATTCCAGTTAAGGATTATCCCTGCTAATATGGTCAGGGGTCACAGGTCAGGGGTCAGGGCAGACAGAAGCAGAAAGGTTATGGATAATCTTTTCTTTAAATACACTCTTTCTAAGTACTGAGGGGACTACACCCAAATTCTTCTCGTGACTCACAATCACACCTCATGTGTTCAGCTACTTCAATGTACTATATGGCAATTGTCTTAAAACCAGATATAAAAGTCCATGAACAAGAATCAGTTTTCATTACGATCATTACTGTGTTTTTACAAAAGTCATTGACTTCACCCAAAATGAAAGCTATTGCTAATTTTAAAAATGTCATAAACATAGACCTTAAGAAGTGAAAAGATTCTTGCAATCCTTAAAGGCTACACAACGTGAAGATTGATGGCCCCATCATCTTGAAAGAGATCAAAACTTCTCTTCTTACAAATTGCGTAACGACCTTACTGAAATAACTAGAAAGACTAGAGGTTCCCTAATAATATTTAATGTGTGGTTCACTGGAAGAGAATTTCACTCACAGCTTTAGGTCCTGAAAGCCCCCAAATCCAAAGATGGACAATTCAGTGTGTGGAGAGGCTCCCCACTACACTGTCTCAAAGATGGTTGATGCAAACAGAACTTCATAACTACACAAAAATGGTTGCTCAGATTAAATTATGTAAACGTAGTTTCAAAATAACCCGCTCAAGTTTCATCGCATTAAAGATGGACCTGCAAAGCACTGGCCGTGTCGCGCCTGGTTCCAGCGGAATTTCAGTGGCTACTGAGGGGAGCTCAAACCCCAAGTCATCCTTGTAAAGAAAGACTCTGCAACATAAGTTTGAGCATCAAATCCCACGGACGCACTCAACCGCCTTGGACCTGCTCCCTGGACACTGCTTCACCAATGCAAAACAAGGCAGAGCCATTAGGTGAGGGCTGAGGTCCCCATCTTGCAGTGCAAGCAGAAGGGGCCATCTTTGAAAAGGTCTTATTTTTTTTAAAATAAGATATTCCAGGGTGGAGTTTTCAAAATGGGGAATAAAATTTATAGAGTATATTATTAATTATATGAAGTAATTAAAATATATTTGAATTGATCCTATCCCACAAAACAGGTTCATTTTCTATCTGAGAATATTTCATAGTGAAACGTCCATCTACAATGATTTTTTTTGTGACTATAAAGTTCCTAGTTTTCTTCTGCTTGAAACTAAATAATAGAAAAATTCATAATACCAAAAGTAATTTTAGAGAAATGCATATAATACCAAAGTAATTTTGATAAGCCTAGCACACGGTCAAATTTCAAGACACCGGACAGTAGCTTTGAGATATTTCCAAATTAATAATTGGTCAAATTGGATTTTTTATTAAATAAACTTTAGACTTATATAGTTTCTCTCCATTTGTTTATATCTATGGTAAGAACTAACAAAGAATTTTAAGCAATTTGTTAGATGAACTGTCAATTATATTCAATATTAGCTGAAATAATTTGCAAAAACAGGAAACGAGTAAGGATATGAAATATTTTCATATTTTAAATAGTTGGAAACTGTAAGTAGTTGAAAATCATATAAAATGTCAAAATTTTAAAGCAAAAAACTTTAAAAATAAATGAAGCTTTAGCATTCCGTCAGCCAAAAAGTAGGGAACCATTTTGTTCTGAAATATGAAACCAGCGTCATTGATATAAAACTTAAATTTTCACTCTATTACATAACTCGGTTTTCAAAACCATAAATATTTAACTGCTATTTGAGTCCACTTACTCTCCCTCATTGGTTACTCCTCTTGCTACATTTTAACAAGTTTACATAACTGCCAGCATCAGTACAGCAGAGCTGGAAAACTTGTGCCTTGTTCCGGATGACAGATTTGGCTGAACCTCTTTATTTTAGCTAGCTCCGGTTAATTTCGAGGGACAACTCATCATTCACTATCCTATACCTCTTAAACAGTTTTGAGGACTTCGTCACAAGGTGCCTAAACCTTTAGGAAATAAAGAGCCTTAAAAAAAAAAATTCTAGGCCTTAAACAAAATATTGAAGAAAACAAAACATCACCATTTTACTTTTATGTCCCCCCAAACAGACTGAAAGAGCTTCTTGGAACCTACTGACCACCCCAACCCACTCGTGCATTGGGCAAACAATGAAAATTCACGACCCAGGTCGCACGGTTCACAGTCACAAGATGGTAACATTAGTGGGAAAGTGTGGAGTGGCTGAGAACTCTTCACAGGAGCCTGCTTGAAAAGTGGCTACACTTGAGGGCAAGGCCAAAAGTGTTGTTTACGAGCTCTGGTCTCCCTTTTCACCCCAAAGTCACTGGCTGACTCAAAGGCACAGTGAAAGGTGTTTTCGTGGTCTATAGGATTATGTCACACACCCTCACGCGCACACACACTCACACTCCACTCTCCACACATTCCAGAGGCTCTGGGGACCAGAAAGATGAAAACTGGTCTCTGAGCCATTTTCCCCCCGATTTGAGCTAGTTTAATTTAAAATATCCAGTAACCTCCCTGAAGAGGAAAGAAAGGGAACAGATAGGGAATGACAAGATTATTTCCCTCAAATAACTTGGGTCCCTTCTCCCCAGCCACGCCAACAGCCAAAGTGACTCTGCCCAGAGAGAGGGCAAGAAAACTTCAAAACGCAAGGGGGCCCAGTGAAGTTTAGTTGGGACAGGAGATGAAGGCACAAAGGGGTGCCTGGGATGCGTCCCAAGCGACACCCCTAATCCCCGCTCCGTCGTCTTACTTTTGGATGATCTGGGGTAGGCCGGCTTGAGGTGGCGGCGGCTGCTGCATCCCTCGCGGGCCCTGGGGCGCCGGGGGCGCCTGGGCTCCGGGCACAACGCAGGCATCTCTGTCGGGTTGCTCGGGACCGCTGGGATCCGCGTCCTGACTCATGGCTGCCGCCAGCACCATGCGGGGCGAGACCCGCCCGAGCTCTCGGCGAGAGGGCACGCGGGAGGGGCGGGCCCGGGGCACCGGTGCTCACTGGACGGGGTCCCGGTGCCTAGTCCCCTTGTCCTTCTCGGTAGCGCGGGGAGGAGACGCGAGGGGCGGGGAGGAGGCAGTCCCGGCTGCGCCGCCTCCTCCGCCTCCTGCGGTTCGCGATGGTGGAGTCTGGCCCGCGGGGGCGGGGGGACAGGGGGCGTCTCCCGGCCGGAGGGGGCCGCTCGGCGACCCTGGACTGGGGTGGCCCAGCGGAGCTGTGCCCGCCGACTCCAGGCGCAGTAAGCTGAAGAGGAGCGCGGCGTGCGCCACCGGCCACAGTGCGCCCTCCGGTCCCGAGCCGGGCGCTCCGCAGCGCGGCACGCCGCGTGAGAAAGCGACACGCCCGCCAGCCAGTGGCCAGCGGCCGCCCTCCCGCTCCTCTCTGGAACCCCGAGGCCTCCCGACTGTCCCCTGGGACCGCGCGCGCGGCCTGACGCCGCTCCTGCCCAACGCGGCGGACTGGGCGCACCCGGGGCGTCCGCGCACATCGCCGGTGCGAAGTGCACAGGGCTTGGCATCTCCCAGCGGCTGGAGCCCGGCCAGCGCTACTTGCGTGTGAAGGACCCGACCCCGCAAGGGAAAAGCCCGATCCTCCCTCCCCAGGTCCGAGGGACTTGGAGCTTCAGGTCTCCGATGACCAGGCCCGAGGGTTCTCCAAATTGGCAGTTCCCGCTGCTTATTTCAGGGGTCCCTTCCAGAAGCAGCAGTGGGGCCGCCCTGCCAAGACCCTGCGAGTGCAAAGACAAAACCAAGCAAACGTTCAGATCTCGTTATTTATGGGCCAAGTCTCCGTGGAAACACAAAGGGCGCGAAGGGGAGAGATCGTGCTCCCCACCATCACCGCCTCTGAAGCTCTGTTATCTGCCCCGCAGCCCATGTGCGCCCGGCCACCGGCGCACCCGGGCTCCCAGCTGTAGCGCGGGCATCATGTGCCTTTGAAGGCCGAGGAGACCCCCCGCAGGTCCTGGCGAGCGGTGGGGGGAGGGGGGGATGTGGGGGAAGGGGGAGAGGAAGCACCTGGTCCAGCAGAAGAAGTCTAGTAGGAGCAGGGCAAAAGACCAGGGAAGTGGCTGCACGGGACTCCTTACCGGCTGTCGGGCTCACGGACGCTCTAAATCCTGACTCCGCAGCCAGGGAACTGAGCAAAGTTTGCTTTTGGTGCCTGGGAAGCCAGAGCGCACGCCAAGCTGCCCAACGGCCTAGAAGGGCTTTTGCTGGGGGATGCGGAGGAAGCATCTGGGGATGTGTTCCCTGAGACCTGGCAACTTTCTGAATTTCCTGGAAGATGGTTTCTTCCCTTTCCAGACTGAGTTTCTGTTAACCTTCCTACCAGCCTCGGGGACTATACCTGTGCCTCACTTGATTTCTATCGTTCCTCCTAGTGTCTCTGCTCTTGCTGGCTGGTGATGCTCTCTCTCCTTCCCTCACTCTCATTCTTTTTCCTTTCTCCTTCCTCTGGCGGATAAAATTATATTTCCAATCCCTTGTATTCATAGACATCAAATCATCACATTGCACAAAATTCACACACACACACACACACTGTAAGCCTTGAATTGAGGATATGTGTCTAGTAAGAGACTGTGCCAAAAGTCTTGTCCCATTCTCTGAATGGTCAGTTCATCTGTGCTCTTTAGTTTCTATCACTAAATCTTGACTCTGGTTTCTACGAAACCCATCTTTTATCCTCACCTCCACCCCCAGACTTCCTTGAGGGAAGGAAATTCTAAAACTAACATTGTAACTCTCCCAGAAATGGAAATGAAAGCTTTCCAAATGTTTACATTGAGCTCTCCCTCTGAGATCCTCCAAAACCTCTGTGGGGAGGGCTTTGTAGTCACAAAGACCTGCTACTGAGTCCAACTCTGCAGTTTACCATGGAGGACAGCCTGTGAGGAACGCTGACCAAATAGTATGTAAATAGTGAGAGATGAGACCCTAGCACCACAGAGTCACCTTAAGGATTCAGAACAGTGTATTTTTCATATGTGGTGCAGAAGGTCTTCAGGGTGGCAGTTATAGACATGATTGTTTATATTCCAATCATAAATCAATCAAAAGATTAAAACCTCCAGCAACCTCAATGTCTGGCAGTAACAATATTGCTATTATTAAGTCCTCCTAACATATAACATGCTTATTAGAAAAGGAGGGAGGGAGGGAGAGGGAGGGAGAGAGAGATTATATAAATGCACCTCTCTGCATCTCAAAAATGATACCAGCAATGTACTAGCATGTGTGCCAAAATAAGAAACAATGGTACATCTAGGTATCCATTAGGTTTTTCTTGCATCCTTTCTGTAAGTTTAAAATTTTCAAAACAAAATTGAACAAAAATGAGTGACTCACAAGACATTTTTCAGAAATCCCATTCCCACGATTATAGCTTAATATTTGCAATTTCTGTGAAATTTGAATCGGAGCAAATTCCATAGGAAAGGGCAACCCTGCCACACAGCCTTCAACTCACTCGCACCGTGTCTCAGATCTCCACGGAGTATCTTCCTCTCCAGGATGATACAGGAACAAGCAGTTCCCTGTTGCAAGTCAAACATTAGGTACATTAAACAGTTTCAGTGTGTGGGGGGAAATATTTTTTTTAATTTATCTTTTCTCACTTTTTTTCTAGGAGTAATAAAAGCAAATAAAGACACTAACTGGGGTGGCAGCCCCTGCTTTTGTGTGCCGTGCACCCTCCATAGCCCCCCAACGGTGTGCTTCACAACAGTGACTGAATCAAGAGAAAAGCTGAGTCACCCACTTCACAAGTGTGACTGCAAGGGGAGGGCTGGTGGCACCTTTTTGTTTCACTCTGCAGAAGCATCCTGGCCTTCCTTGACCTACCTGGTCAGGCAGCAAGGCCCTCGTTGCTTATTAATACATCGAACATTTAACAGGAGTCAGTTGCTCAGTGCTAGGTACTAAGTACTATGAACATAGTAACTCCATGAGATAAGTACCATTACTCAGTGAAGAAACTGAGTCTCAGAGAACTGGAAGAATATGTTCAAGGTCAGCTGGCTTTTAAGGGACAAAAGCAAGACCATAGGTGGGTTGATCTGTTCCAAAACTCTCCTGTCACTCCTCTGTACACTGTCTCAGAGGGGAGGCCAAGATGTCACCTGTCTGCTTTTGCACTGATGCTTCCTGCAACTTCCAGTGAATGTAAAATGCCATTTTACAGTGAATTTACAGCAGTGAATTTGCTGCATGGTAAGCCAGCAAATTAGTAATGGTAAGAAGAAAATGGAAGGAAATGAAGCAACCTGGCAGAAGAAGGCAGGAAGGAACAGGAAAGGAATCCAGTCTCTGTTATTTTAGGGACATTCTCAAACTTGCTGGGACTCTGGCTTCTTTTGTAACATTAATAAATGTTTCCTGGGTTCCAGGCTGTAGTCCTAAAAGTTTTCTCATGCCTTATTCACTTAATATCACCACTGTGCAGACAGAGACGCTTGAAGAACCTGGCCAAGGTCACTGGGATACTAAAGCAGAGCAGAAGTCCTGAGCCACTGTGCCCCTTGTCCTTTTCTCAAGGGGGAGGGAGCTCACGGGTCAGGGTGATGGTGGGCTTTCCTCTGTGCAGATGAGGTCATTTTCAACATGCTGCTATTCCTCTGTGCATACTAGTGGATGAGAAAGTTAGGGATTACCCAGAGCCCGTGAAGCTGTGAGACAGACTTTCTCATACACTGGGCGAAAGCAAAAGTGTCAGCTGCTGGGACCACTGCAGAAATGAATTGGAGTTGTCTGCTAAAGCTGCAGCAAGAGAAGTGGACTCAGCAGTTACCCCGCGAGGAATTTATCCTATGGGTTTACTTGGAGCAATAATCAAATCTGTATGTGCAAGGAAGTTGATAATAGCATAGACTAGAAATAATGGAAGCCACATATACAAACAAGATCCCCACTTTCTGAGGAATATAATGTAACCATCAAAAGGAAGGCAGCAGATCTCTCTACACTGCTCTGGAGAGATTTTCTAGAGTTACTAAAGAGAAAATGCAAGTTCCTCAACAGCACTGTAGTGTGACTAAGTGTGTGTGAAATCAGAGTATAGAACATTTCTGGAAAAGCTATACAAGTAGTTAATGTTTTTTGGGTTTTGCTTTGCTAGTATTGGGGTTTGAACTCAGGGCCTTACACTTTCTAGTCAGGCACTACCACTTGAACCACTCCACCAGCCCTTTTTGTATTGGTTATTTTTGAGATAGGACCTCACTTTGTTCTCTGGCCTAGACCTCGATCATCCTTTTGTGCTTCTCTGCGTAGCTAGGGTAATAGGTGTGCACCACCAAGCCCAGCTATTGGTTGAGATGGGATCTCAAGAACTTTTTGCCAGGGTTGACCTTGAACATGATCCTCCTGAATCTCTGCCTCCCAAGTAGCTAGGATTACAGGCTTGAGCCCCTGCACTTGGCTTTTAATTAATTAATAGTGAGTACCTCTAGATATAGGAATAGGGCAGCGACGCTCTTCTATACGGCCTTTTATATTATTTGAATATTTGAAATAAAGCCTGTGATAAATTCGATTTGAATGTACTATGAGCATTGTTCTTTTCTTAACTAATGGCAATGAAACTTAATGGTTCATTTTCCAACTAGTAATCACTAACAACATAGTAAATTAAAAATAAACAGAGTGTTTATTTTTAAAGCAAAAGTTCATCTGGAGCAATGAAGGAAAGTCTGGACAGTGTACAGTCCAGACTTAAATTTTGCCCTTTTCATGTTCTAACAACCCCAATAGAGATGGTTAAAAAGTGAAATCCTTATTGCCAGCAGTCATGTTGAGACAGTTACAGTCTAGTACTTTGACGATGATAAACATATACTAAGCCACCTATCATGTTAGGCATGACACATTGGCCACTATCCAAGTGTTAGTAGAAGTTGTCATTTCTTGAGTGTTTGTCTGTCTTGAGCACACACTATTTCTCATTAAATCTCCACAACCTTGTTAGGTGGTTGTTTTATACCCATTTACAGATAAGAAAACTAAGGCTCAGTGAAGTTTTAGCACTTAGCCAGCTAGTGACTGAAAGAGCTGTGTCTCAAACTGGGTTCTACTTACTATTCCTAGAGTTGAGCTTTTAACTCTGTGTGGTGCTTCTTGGTGAAATGGGGTTGATACTGTGCACCCCAGTAAATCCTCAAGCTTTGACCCTCTCTGCTGCCTACACTGTCCCATCGTCTAGTTTCCCACCTCTCCACCCACCCCCCCGGCTTCTCTTTTCTACCCTTTCAGGTGGGCTTTATCTATTTGTCCATTCCCCCTTCATAACCAGAATATAATCTTTCCCGTGAACTCCATAGGATCCCTGCAGATGTCTGAAGGCAATCATAAAATCAAATCTGTCCTGGCTTCACAAAGGCTCACCTCTCTCTCTCTCTCTGAAAATCC